CAACGCTGACGTCCACCTAGCGTCGTATAGTTGAGCTATCTGTAGCTTAAAAGGAGGAATTCACGATTAGAATGAAGGTCGAAGAAAGGGAAACTGACCTAGTTGAGGGACCCACGGACCTCCTGAGGGTGCGAACTGACGCGCAATTCGCATGGAAAAATTTGACCTCGGCGACCTATCATGCCTCAAAGCTGGCGGGTTCGGCGATCTCCGCCCACCGATCATCTGATCACTCGCCGTAGTTCAATACGTGGCGAGTGATTAGATAGCTGAGAGAGCGTAGTGTTGAAGAGGGCACAGCGATGAGAGTCGCATCAATGCTCGAATCAACGGGCAAGGAAGGGGTACCATTTCTCGGGTTCTGGGCCGTTTCTCATGGTTCTTCCTTCTTTCGTGTACCACTCACCATCCCTAGGTTAAGTTTGAAATGGGTTGCTTTTTCATCGTGAATTCGTCCTTCAATTTTTTGTGAAGGCAGCGTTATGGAGTCCTGTTTATCGTTTGGGGACGACAAACTCACCAGTTCTGCACACGTCACAATCTTACGAAATTCAAGTGCAATGATGTAAATGTTGCACGGGTCATGTTTGAGACGTTTAGACTTTTTGCATTTATTAAAATATGTTGTTCTAGTCGTGATCTGCATCTGGTAGGTTTTTTCATTTCAGCTTGCCAATTTACTGTCCTTTCACTTTGCTGTAGAACTTGTAGGAGTCGTCCTTGCCTTCGCAACTGAAATGGAACTTTTACTTCGGAGTTCAGAAAAAAAAATGATTTACTCTTCCTATCTAATATTTTTCGATACTTTGATGTTCCTTCATAAGGAAATCCAAAGCTCCAGGAAGAAATCAGAATGAGCTCGAAGACGCTCAGCTACACAATGGCTGATACTTACGACAGCTATTTGGACTCATTTTGTACTTTATGTCGTTCAAAAGGGCTTAAAAACCGTTTGAAAAAGATGGAATCTTTGATACTATCTGTGATTACCTACCAACAGTCCACAAGCTTTTTACTTTTGAGAACAATCGTCAATAAACACGAAAATGCCACACTAAGTTTCTATCACCAAGCTGAGGTGGACAAAAAGCAGAAGAGTTACAGACCCAGTAGCGCCCAGACATACAAAATTACAGCACTTCCAAATAGGCCGTGATTATGCAGCTAGTTGTGTCAGTGTGTGAGATCTCGTGTTGAACGACAAGATCTTGCAGATTTGGCTATTTCCGCTGGACTGTGCGCCGATGCCCTTGTTTCCCGAAAAGATGGTAAGCATTTAACACCCTCCTAAAGGAATCCTTCCTCGGAAAATCCTTGCAATCTTCCCCAACATGAGTGTGTCAGTTGTCAGGCGACGTATGAAAGAATCGCCTTAAAGCGCGCGATTTTAGAGAATAGAGACAAAAAATCGATAGGATATGATGCAGTAGAAGTGTGAGATGCAGTGCAATAAGTCAAAAGATCAGAAAGAGTTTCTAGTGACAGCACTCCGTGAACCAAGTGGAAGCGTTCCCGCCGCCAGCATTTGTGACAGATGTCCGGCGGGAATTTGAACAGTAGCCCCTTCCAGTTTTCGAACTGTTTACCAAAACAAATGCCAATTTTTTGTTCTTTCTCGGGACCAGGTAGGTCTCCAAGCCAGTGGAGAAGTTTGAGATCGGTTAGATTTTCCGGAAAGACCTTCAGCAGCAAACACGGTACCATGCCATTAGTAAACTCGATGTCAAATTTTTTGGATCTGCCATGCCGCCTAATCCTTCATTTTCAGACGTTGTTCTCCTCCTCGTTTTACAGCACAATTTTGAAGGGCTTTTTCGTACCGGGTACCTTATCGGGATTTGCCGTTAGCTTCGACTAAATCGTGATAATTTTCTTAATGGCAATCTTTGAGCTTCCTGATAGACAAAGTTGTATCCTTCTATTTTATAAAGCGCTAACTTTGTGTGTCGGTTTGTATGTCTGTATGTGTGTATGTATGTATGTGTGTCCGTCCGCAAAATGAAGTGGTAGGGAAACTCGTGAAGTAAACAGACCGTTAACAAAATCGAGTAACTATGACTTTAGCAATCAATGTTTTGCAGTGCTATCAATGTGATAACACCCCAACGGCTATATAAACACCTACTGAGCATGGTCTCATTCATTCCACATGAATGTAAAGGGAGTAATGAGAAAGGGGGGAGCCTACCCCCAAAAAACTTGAGGCCCAATAATATCATTCTAGAGTCACGATTACGGTAAGCTCTATCTATATAAGACACTTTGGTGCATGCCGGACATGTCCAATATCAACCCATGGATCGAGCACATGGAAGATAAAGGTATAGCAGGTAGATCCCGTGGTCTGCCGGGGGAACCAATCTGGTTGTGAAAAAAGGGAGCCTATAAGACCCAGTAATGAATATAAGCAGACTCCGACAGACCAAAAAACACACAGTATGTGATTGTTCCAAAACAGTGAGAATTCCTCGGTGATGACCAAACTAGACCGAAAACACCCACTACTATCACAGAACTCCCCGTCTTACGGTTACGACAGCTTCTATGAACAATCGTCGTGTTGTAGAGGAAATATTCGGTCACCCTCCACCGTCACTTCATGAAATAATTTCAGGTCCCCTCTTTCCTCCTGTTTCGTCCCACAAAGTCTTGTCCCAGCCACAGTTCACTTGGAGCAGAAAGAGCTCTTTAATCGCATGACCTCGGAACGTTCATCAAAATTAAGCAAAAAAATGTCAATTCAGTAGTCAATGGCAACGACTGATAAACAAGGTTTTTGTGTTCCACCTGGCCATTGAGTGGGATCAGTTGATCGACACCGTCTACCTGCAATATCCAAAAAGGTCGATTTAATTAGCCTCGGTGAACCGAGGTCTGCTCCCAAACTCATCTGCATCTCCAGTGGATTCGAACTCGACCTCGGTGTTTCATACCTTCTCACAAATATTGTCTCCAACCACTTCGCCTAACTTCTCCACTTACTTACCGATTGACTGACAAACATCCATATATTCAAAAGCTGAATTGATGCTTTGCGTGACCTGGATGCCTTGCTTGCCCTCTTCCTTCTGCATCCGTCAACCGCCGCTCGGTCCAATGGCAGCCATGGTTACTTGTTAAGATTGCCGGCTTTCCTGCATTCCATTTCAAAGCCATCCACCTGCAATTGCAACTTTTCAGCTCAGGTAACTGAAGCTGCTGATGAGCAATTTCTCAATACTTCCTTAATCCCCTCGACATCCTGATGAACATTATCTTATTAACTCAAAAGCAGATTTTCTTAAACACCGTGTCCCGGATTACGCCCAACAATGTAGCCAATTCACTAGCAGGAACATAAAATTGCATCAGCCTATAACCTTCTTATCCTAGACACGCTTTTAATACCGTGATCAGCTGGTTTTTTTGTTACAGGTTTGAACTGCTGCTATTGGCTGTAATTGGGCAAGTGAGGCTAAAACGCGCGCGGTAAACAGACACACGGATTTTATCCAAAATTTTGAAAAAAAAATGATGAAGAAACTTTGTGTAGTGGTCTATCCAGCATATTTTATGAAACAACTGAATATTGATTACAAACTGCTATAAATGCTCAATTACAAAAGCGTATAGTGCAATGAAATCGGGAAAAAAGGCAAAATTTTTTACAAACTTTGTAATAAATGTTCAAAAATTAGTTTTTCCCGCGTAAAATGCTCTACTTAGGGTTTTAAAAAATTGTACATTACATGGCACGTCCTCGTTGCAGGCCACCGGAGATCAAATCCTGGGTCGTGAGTCGCCCGGGCCAACCAAGCCTTCCATCCCTCCGGGGTCGGTTAATTGGTACCAGACTTGTCTGGGAGGATAAAAACACTGACTTGTACATCGGCTGGCCCCGCAAGTCATTGTATAGGCCACATCGCATTCAAACGCCACTACGAATGCGAAAACTGGTGAGGTATAACCACATGAAAAACCACATGTATGAAATAGCCTGATATTCAATTTCCGATTCACTGATTTGCTGCTCACTCGTCTTGAAGCAAGCCAAGGTAAGGTCGTTTCGAAGAATCTATCCTATGTGGGATAGAGTAGCCCGCGAGAACCACAAATGTGTCGTTGTCGCGGCACGAAAGTGAGCAACAATGGCGTTAGAGCCCTTCAAAGTGATCTAATGGCGACTAAAGTGAACTTATGGACGAGATACCTCGCACCCCGCGGTAAGCCGGAATACGCATTACGCCGCAGCCACCATTGCAAGTACGCGCAAGTTAGTGGAGCCGTGGAGCAAGCAAACACTAGTCTGGGCGTGCCTCTCCCTCATTTCAAGGAGGAGGAATAGGTGTACTTGTTGATGGCTTCATCGGCGGAACGCTGTGGTCCTTTTCCATTACCAATGATGGCTGCATCCACATTCCCATTATCGATCACCTCACCAATTTGATATAGGGTTTTTACCTTATTATTTTTAACGACGTTTCCTAGATTACAACATACGGCGCAGGAACATGAATGTTCTAATTTAGATAACCTTATAACTCTCACTTCCAAAAAAGAATCATACTTACCGATTTCACCTCACCGTCAGGAATCAGAGCACCTGATGAAGTGATACATCCGACGAAGCTGGGTACGCCATGCTCTCCACATTTGAATTGGAATGACTTCTCCTTCCACTCGGAATCTGAAACAGAGTACAAATTTGAAATATGCTATCTCTGTGAACTTCTCCACTCTTCTCCCCTACTGCTAATGACTCTTACCAAAAGGATGTCCATTGCAGGAGGCGTGCTTGTTCATTTTTTGCTGGAGAACGATCTGTCCCCCGTTGCTCATTTTGCATTCCCACGTATGATCACCAACGTCCTTTTCGCCATTCACGGGTACCTGGAACACTTGGTAAAGGAATTTTCGGAATTTTCCTTAATTTTAACTTAACTTTAACTTAATTTTTGGCGAGAGGTTTTTTCTGCGCTTTCAAGTTCCATATCGTTCTTCTCCACGTGTACAGGAGAGCGGAATCAGAATCCGAAGATTCATAATTGAAAAAGGGAGCTTCTGAATCGTTTAGGGCGCCGGACAGTAAAAAGAACACTTCAGAGAATGTTAATTATAGGATCCACATGATCTCCCCGCCACTCCCTGAACTTCACAGAACATTCACAACGATATCACATACTCTATTATAAAATTCCCTAATACAAGCCGCCAACTGTGAAAAAATATGTCAAAATTAATAGCCTGAAGTGATCCTGCTTTTGAGGTTTCTGCTGCTGATGGTGAGTATTGGAAGAGCACCACGCTGCAGAAATTTCTTCATTCTTACTCACCATTCAAGTACTTGTAAAAATCATATGAAGGTTCATACCACAACTTTATCCGGAGTGAGACATCCGGACACCTCTGTTCGCCATGCTCCGTTCGGCTCAATTTTGCACTTCATTTTGAATGCCTCGTTTTCGGTCTGGAACTCGAATTTTAGAAGGGAGAGTGATGCAACAACTTAAAATGAGATATCAATCGGACCTCCTTACAGGCTTTCAGACTGTAGTGGAGATAGTATTATGAGCTTGGCGTTTTTGAATCATACGTCTGTTTAGCAATCGGTTTAGACTCACCCATTCTTCATCATTTTTGTAGGTCTTTCCTTTGAATTGACAAGCTAAAACGGCGCTGAATCCCATGCAGATCAGAAACAACTTCATCCTTCAATTAGTGATATTTGTTTTCTTCAGAAGTTCTTTTATTTGCAATGCGTACAACATAACGAGCCTGACCACCCTACTCTTCCAATATTCACAAAGATGCGCTAGTAACAAAACAGGGTGGAAAAATGACTGCTCATGAATGTTAAACAAATATTATTGCGGAAATAGAATCGAAGTTTAGTTCCAATATTGAGTGAACAGCTGATAGCAGGAGCAAATTGAAGATCGTCGAACATTAAAAGCTTGACTGGTCTGGGCATCTCTTTACAAAACGACGGGATACTCTAAGCAAAAATTGCATCAAAAAGCCGTAAGCTGTTGATCGATCTCCCTAAATGATAGCTTCAAGGCTGCTGACCTAAACGCGCTTTTTTGTGCCTTTGAAATTTTTTTTAAACCTTGAATCTGAGTTGTGTTTACTTACACCTTTTTTGGGACGGAATTCTTTTACCTATTTCGAAGAATGTTGAGCTTCCGGCAAGCTTATTGCTTAGCGTCCTGACTGCAGCCTAATTCTATTCAAGTGCGCTTTTCGTTGCAGTCAGTGTCATGCATGTGAAGAATCATTTTCGGCGAGCAGAGCCTTGTTTTGAGAACATCATCACGCTGGACTCCGTTTTCATCCGATTACTCCTCTAGAGCTCGTCATATATCTGGCTCAGCTGGTACGGAGCCTAATCGGAATGATTGAAACTGACCAAACAATTAGTTACCTGTTGCAAATCATACGTGTCTTATACAGCCCAACAGCCAAGGATAAGGGATCGCAAGCAAACGCTTATTTGGTCGGAATAATCAAAAAATATTTGATGCTCAGTGCCTAACAAGAAATGATGCGATATGCTCTAATAGATCCACAAGGAGCAGTAGCCAATCAAAGAGATAAATACGTATAAGCCCCAAGAGACTTCAGGATCCCAAGTTTTAAGGACTCCGCTAGCTGGATTGCCAGGAGATAGGATGGCCAGGGAGCTAGATCGTCAGACAGCGAAACAGAAATGATTTATCAGTCACCAATTGCTCGACGCTTCTCTTTCGAAACATCTAAATCGTTGTTTTGCTTGGATAAAAGTGCATTCCTTACACATGTACCTTTGTTTTCGCAATTCATCAGAATGAGGAAGATGTTATATGCATCGTATAACACGTTATATGTGTGAGAGCTGGATTAAGCTAAAGCAAAAACAAAACCCGGACACTAGCAGATGGCCGTTGATCAATCCCTTTTTGGGATTACATTCTACTTCCATTTGTACATTCGCAGTGGCGTTTGAATGCGATGTGGCCTATACAATGACTTGCGGGGGCCAGCCGATGTCAAGTCAGTGTTTTTATCCTCCCAGACAAGTCTGGTACCAATTAACCGACCCCGGAGGGATGGAAGGCTTGGTTGGCCCGGGCGACTCACGACCCAGGATTTGATCCCCGGACCGCTCGCGTGGTAAGCGCGGCCACTTGTCACGACACCAACCACTTCGCGCCCGCTGACTGGAAGTCTCTGGGAACATGTCCCATGAAAAGCTGAGTTGGGATGAAATGGTGCCCCGGTAGCGTAACTGGTAGCGCACTTGCCCGGAAAGCGAGAGTGCGGGTTCTAGTCCCGCCTGGGGCGAAAGTTTTGTTCACAACCCAGCATTCTTGTGAAACATTCGCAAACGAACTGCGGCAAAAACGGCTCTCACTGTCAAAAAAACACCAAAAGTGCATTCCCCGGTTGCAATGTGTCCAAGGGGAGGCAATAAAGAACCATGCAGCTTTATTTTCAACCCACGTGAGTTAATGAATTTTATCACAACCTGCTGAATTCAAACCGTATGCTCCCAACTTAGAATCGAAGAACACATCCCATTTTATGAAAAAAAAACTTCATGGTGGCCTTATTTGTGCACGGCATCAGAACGACCTTCCACCGGTGGTGCACTGGTCGAGCTCAACGGGGTTCTCGACGGATCTTGCACCAATGCGTTTTTCTGAAAAGCGAATTCCGAGTGGATTTGCATAGCTATAGAGCTAATGTCTCTAGGAAAGTATCCAACAGTGAATCGTTTCAAGAAATTCCGTTAGAGCTTCAGTTTGGAGCAGTTTCAGGAGGCCTCGATGACGGTGGCGGATGACGTCATATTCTGGAGAAGCCTAGGGCGTGAGGAAACTGCGTCTACTTGAGGGGCATTTGACTATTATCCCACTGGAACCTGCCGTCAAGCTCTGCGACCAAAGCATCGCTAAAGGGCAAAATAGCTTTTCTAAGCCCTCCCCCTTCCCTGTAGATAATTAACTAGGCCCTCCCTCTCCCTGTACACAATTACCTGTACTGGATCGTACGAGTGAAAAACCCTGCCATCTGAAAAAGGATGGCAGAGATAGGAGCACGAGGAAAAGGACGGTTACAATGAAATAAAGCATTGTAATGCGTATCACTGCGGCGGAGCATATCAGAACTGAAGGTTGCGGAGTAGTGAGCAGATAGAGGTAAGAGACCATGAAAAGATATATGAAAGGAAATACGAGACGAGCCAGGAAAATGTAGAACGGCTCTTTAAGAAAAGATAAAATGTAATGCATATGTCAGGACATGGTGTCATAGGGGCTTGGTGTTTGGTTTATGGTTCACTTTCGATTGTGCCACGAATACGTTGTACGTACCAAAAAGTTTGGGATACAGAAAACCAACCTTTTTTACTGCGCGATCGAAAACCTAAGTCATTAGGACGCCTTGGTATTATTTAGGCAGAGGGCACTAGATGAAGCTGCAAGATACTAACAAAGTTGAGAAAGGAAGGATCGTATCAGAGAATTGGGCTATAATCAAAAGCATAAGGAAGATGGGAAAGACAACTGAACAGAAAAAGAGATTTTTGATGATTCGGCAGTGGTCTTGAGAGTAAAAAACCTTACAAAACATGAAAATGCCTCGCAGCGAGATGTCCATACAGTTTAAGATTGGCTAGTAAGAGCAGGATGTGAGCCAGAATGACCTAGTTTCATGCAAGGGGTCCTGTAAAGTTGCGCACTGAACAGTGGCTTCATTCGGTGAAACTCCAGTTCGGGGGGGGGGCACTCCATTTTTTCTCCAATACTCAAGATAAGGATTAGAGGGCTCACGACACGTAATCGACTCATTTAAAGTAGACTTCTGATAAATTTTCACATTTCCGCCTGCCATGACCCAAGGGAACGGTCCTGGACCAGGAGAAAGGACACCTCCGCAAAGGGCTAAGGGTGCAGGAGCTCCAGGGTGGATCACCTGTGCAGAAAAGTGGATGGGATGTGGGCAGGTAGTGTGGAATGTAGGACATCCACCGGTCCTTATCAAAAGTACGCTCGAAATGAGTCGTTCACTTATTATCTTATCCGTAGTGTTCGATAGCCCAAAGAACTGCTCTCTAGTACTACGGATAAGATAGCAATGGAGTGCCCCCCCCCCGAACTGGAGTTTCACCCTTAATTCATACGCCATTTCTTCAACTTTTTCTGCTGTCGTTCGCATTTAGTACAGGAAGTTGTGAGGGCAGCTGTGTCAGGTGAACCAAATTCTATCCCCCTACCAACGCGTATCCCCCTACGACTAAGGCGAAGAGACTTCACAGAAAATCAAAAGCACTCACGTATTCCGGAAAACCCCCCCCCTCTCCCCCTCCCCCTTGATGTCTAGTCCTACGAGCGTAAAAGCGTTAGTAAAAGTGTTTTGCTCAGGTTTCAATTGTGTTGAGGGCTGTGTATCTCAGCATCTCATACTGGACCAGCGCTGCAGGTTTTCGTAGGTGCAGCTTTAGTAGTGTAAGTTGCCATGAAAAGCCTTCTACATTGTGAAATATTCATTCTTTTCACAAAGGTCCTAATATTTTATATCAGGGGGTAGTGAAGGTCCAGAACGAAGGCAGCACTGCGCAGTGGCTAAAATTCACAAAGTAGCATTTGCATGGTCTGTGGTTATGTTAGTCCCGCATAGACCAGCCGTCCTCCATCCTGCGCTTATGGTATGATGAGCGATAAGTAACAATTTTGTAGTTTTACCAACCCCTCCCAACTATGTTAACACCAGGACATGTGTTACAAGGTTCTATTGTTGCTAAAGATTCTTTAAATTTTTTTGGTAAAACAAATGCAATGATAATGGCGGCTATACTGTGGATGTCGTGGAACTTAGCTTCTGGTCAAGCCATCTCGTTATTTCGGAACGCAGCAGTAATCACTTCATTATATAAACCAGAACTTTGGTGTGTCGTTTTGTCTGTGTGTCGTTCTGTCCGTCCGGACCAACCGCTCACAAAACCAGGGAGTACGAAGGGCAACACTTCGATGTTGATGTCATGATCATGATAACACCCACAGCGGCTATATAAACACCGATCGAGCACACTCAGTCTCATTCTACATGGTGCTGCCGTGGCAGCTGGAGGGAAGCGGAGAGGAGGAAAGAGGAAGGGGCAGGAGAGGGGGAGAAAGGGGAGAAGAAAGGGATTGGCAGGAGAGGAGAGGGA